AGCCACATCCTGTCGAAAATTGCTTACAGACGATGCAAGACCTATTAGAGTGAAGGCTGCTGTTTGCAGGAACGCTGCATCAATGTGCTGATACCTGACAGATCGTAGTTGTAGGAAGCACCGAGGACTCAGTGTCTGAAGTAATCTCAGTCATCTGTGCGGTCAGCGTCTTCCGTTACAACTACAGGTGAAACAGTTGCGCGACATTTTGCTTTTGGGCCCTTTTAATTAGAAGAATAAGGCGACCACCAAAAAGCCACTAACACTAAGATATAATCGCCACTGAGGCTTTCTCTAGAAGCCTCAGTGTGGATAGCAGTTATAAAAAAAAAAAAAAAAGGTGCAAATGAAGGGACTTTATACGGCAGAGTTGAAGTTGCTTGTTTCCAAAACGCACGTTTTGCTGAATCACAAATGTCTGCTTGTGCGATTCCATGTGCGTCTGTGTGCAGTTATTTTAGTCCGCTGGCTCATTTTGAGGAAGTGTGCGATTCCAAGCCTCAAACATGCAACGCACAGCTTCGCAAAATGGGCAACGACGTCCCATCCTCACCGCTCCGAGACATTGTTACATAAGACAAGAGATTTTCTTTGCAAAATGCAGCTAAAAGAACAAACCTTGAATACATGGGAACAAAGCGGAGATTGAGCAAGCAAGAATACGCCAAAAATATTTTTTTAAACCATACGCTATAAATGACCAAGTAGTCTACACCCCCCCCACTCCAACATCGAGCATGTCGATAAGAAAACACATGTATCTTTGTTATAAGTGTTCTGCTACTATGTCGCAGCGCTCCAGCAGCCAACGGCCTCAGCACCATCTCCCATGAGTACTTGAAGGGCAGCTACGCTCTGGACCTAGAGGCGGTTAAACAGGGAGCCTGCTCTCTGCCTCACCTCAACAAGACACTCGTGGCCTCCTGCAAACGCCTTAACGGGTACGGTGTAGCTGTCTCTCTTATTTTTTTCTTTAAATGTCATTATAATAGTGTACAGGGCTATTAGGAATTCCTATTCTTTTTTTTTTTTTTTCCCATTTCAACAGGGAGGTGGATAAAGTTCTCTCAGGTCTGGAGATCCTGTCCAAAGTCTTTGATCAACAGAGTGCCTTTATGGTCTCCAAGATGATCCAGCAGGTGACGCTGTTTCCATTTTTTGGTCCGTTTTGATGAAACGGAAACATACATTCAAATTGAATTAGGTGCTTTTTAATAAAACATTGAATAGCAGTCAGTTTGTTCGGTCACTCAACAGAGACGGACCTCAATGCTGTTGCACGTGGACGTCTTAATGTCAATCTATTGGGGGAGGTTAATAAACAACTGTAGCGTCTACTCAGCAGCATATGTTGTTTTGTCCTGATCACTGAAATGTGAGTTTCCCATGATATTATTATATATGTAGTTATATATTTATTTATTATATAGAGCTGTCAAAAGATTAAAGTTTTAGTCCATATTGTCCAGCCCTACTTACTACCCTGTGCTCAGTAAGGTGGGTCTGACCAAAGTCTGACCTGAAAGTAAGGTCTCCACAAATGTATGCTGGGTGTTTGTAGTGGTATTTTAAGCTTAAGGTGATGCAGTGAATGAAAAGGGAAAAAAAATCCTTCAGTATGTGCAAATAACAAGTGTATAGACTGTGTATTAGAACAGCCATAAGTTGAAAGAGATGGAATTATTGGATACAATTAATTAATGGACTTAGTGCGAATGCATTAATTTAGCAGGTGAAATATATATATATATATATATATATATATAAATATATAGCGCGGTCATTATCAGGCAAGATGTGACGGCGTTTGTTCGAACGGCACTGCTGCTGCTCATCTTGAACAGAAACTCCTGGCATCACTTCAGTAGTCACTCCTCACTACTCACTCAGTGTAACCTGTGATTTTATGTTTGGATACAAATTGATTTATCCGCCGCTGGATGAACTGGTTTCACTGGCGTGACGAAGAATCCGGAAAGACACTCTTGAGTGTGCTGTAAAATGTTTGCCGAACAGCTCTACATCTTAGAACACATTTTTTATGATGGAACGCACCACGGTTTCATGGGTGGGTGGGTGGATTCTTCCAAAATGTGCTGCCGTAAAGGCTGCAGTTTATTTTCTCTCCCGATGACTGTAATACTAACTTGTCTATGAGACAGTTCCGATTTATTTCTAACAGCTTGTTTTATCCGCCATCAGTCTGTGAATCAGGGTGGAGACCAGGAGTTGGAGAACCTTGTGACCAAATTGGCGATTCTTAAGGACCTGCTGTCCTCCATAGAGAAAAAGGTAAACTCAGTC